AACAATTAAAAACTTCAAATAGAAAAAAAATTCATTATATAAAATAAAAATTATTTAAAGAATATCAGAAATTTAAAAAAGAAAATCCTAATAATGAGAAGTTAGATTTAAAGAAATATTCTCTATTGAAATTAAGATTGAATCAAAATATAAAGATCTTAAAAGTATAAATTTATTTTTTTGCATTATAACATGCAAAATTTTAAAATAATTGAAGGTAATATTTTATTAAATTTATTTGATTTATAATTTATTATACTCAATTTAAAATTAATTTTAATATACAGTCAACTCTTGATATAGCGAACTCTTGATATAACGAATTTTTGAACAAATATAATAAAAATACTCTTGTTATAGCGAATTGCCCAATCAAATCTCTTAAAATCTTCACTATAGCCTTATAGCGAAGTTGAGGTCTAGGACATAGAGTTCGTTATAACAAGAGTTGACTGTAATAAATTTATTATATAAAAAATTACTATTGTATAGGTGAAAATAGTGAAATGTTATTTCAATTATTTGAAATATTTAAAGAAAAAATGGATTTAGTTATAAATGCAGATAGTGTAGCTCAATCATATTGAACTCATATATATAATGATCTATCTCATATTCCTCTAAAATTAATTATTTATCTTCAGATATGTTATCAGATAATTTTGTATTTTTTTTTGCATAAGCATTTAAAGAACTTTAAATTTTCTTTATTAAATAAGTAGAAATAACATCAGTATCACTATCAGAAGCAATATTAACAATAACACTAACAGCACTATTACTATCACTATCTAGAACAATAGCAGCATTATTTTTAGTCATAAGAACTCAGCTATTTACACAATATTTTGGAATTTTTCATAATAATAATAAAGTAGTTTATCAATTTCAAAATTATGTTTATAAAAATAAAACAGGTAAATATGAAGAAGATTACCTGAATCATTTATGATGTGTAATTAATTTTTTTATTATTTGTTTATTATTATTATTTTAATATTATTAATTTTAATATATATTTAATTTAATAGTTGTATTGACAAAATATTATATGATATCAATAAATTAGCAGATTATATTTTAGATATAATAGTATTTTATTATCTATCAATATTTAATAATTTAAGTAATCTTTATTTTTCAGGTCAGGTAAATTATTTAATTTAAAAATCATTAATTTTAATAAACTTTATTTTTATTTATGCTTATTTTATTTTATTATATTTAGATAAAAAAATTGTGGTAAATTTTAATACTATTTATAGCTATCATATTGATCGTGATAATAATAAATATAGATTTTATTGGCTTATACTATTAGGAAATTGGGAAAAAAGTGATGTGATATTTTCACAACTCAATATAAGAATAAATTGAAATTTGGAAATATTTTAGCATTTATATCAAATTTATTTATATATGATAATCTTCTATATTTTAGTATTAGGCATAGATATAATGCTCTGAATGGTTCAGTTTAGTCTGGATTATAGGCCAATCAGAAACTGAACCAAAAATTTCAGTTTGATTCAGTTTAGATTATTAATCTTAAAAATGCTAATCTGAAACTAAACTGAACTGTAAATTGGAAAAATCTAAACTGAACTAAAAATTTCAGATTAATCCAAAATTTTTGATTTAGTTCGTTTTAGATAAATGATAAAAAAATCATTTGACTAAAATGCTTATCAATCATTTCAGACGAATGATAAGAAAACTATTCATTTAGAATGATAATAACATCGTTCATTTAGAACAATAATAATATTCTAAATAAAAAATCATTCAATTAGAATAATTAAATTATCATTTTAAATGAACGATAAAAGAATCATTTATTTAGAATAATTGAAATTATTATTCCAAACAAATGATAAGAAAATTGTTCAATTAGAATGATAAAAAAATTGTTCATTTAGAATGATTGAAATTATCATTCTAAATGAACAATAAAGAAATAGTTTATTTGGAATGATTAAAATTATCATTCTAAATAAATGATAAGAAATCGTTCATTTAGAATAATTAAATTATTATTTTAAATAAATGATAAAAAAATCATTCATTTAAAATGATTAAATTATCATTTCAAATAAATGATAAAAGAATCATTCAATTAGAATGATTAAAATTATTATTCTAAATGAACGATAAAAAATTATTTAATTAGAATGATTATATTATTATTCTAAATAAATAATAAAAAATTATTTATTTGAAATGATTAAATTATCATTTTAAATAAATGATAAAAGAATCGTTCATTTGAAATGATTTAAATTATCATTCTAAATAAATGATAAGAAATTATTTATTTAGAACCAGTATATGATTTTTAAACCTATACATGCATGTAGAAGATGCACACTATATAGTGAGATCATGTGCAGAAATTGTGTTGAGTAGTACGTAGTTATCATTTAGCAATTCATGAATAATTTTCAACTGTGTGCAAAAAAAATTTTTTCATAAAACTTTTATTTTTATTAAATATATAATATATGAAATACACATAACTTTATTAATTGGATATTATATGAATTATGAATAAAATAAAAATAATTGAATATATAAATATTTTTTATTTATTAGCTCACTGAACATGTTGATTTTCCCAATAATTATATATGCTATCCCAATCAAAATTATGAAAATCATCAGGCCCATTTGCAAATATCATTAAATGCATATTTAATGTATTATGATTTATCTGATTTCTTAATTTGGACTTAGTTAATTTATGATGAAAAAATATCCGCTCAATATGAACATTAGAAAGAGGAATTATTAAAGCTAGCCTAATAAGTTTAAAAATTAATGGATAATCATTAATAAAATAAGATTTTGTATTCCAAATATGTTCCTATTCTTTTACAAAATCAAAATCACAAATTGATTTCATTATTTGTTTAACTATTTCCTATTCTTGATTTAATTCAATTTCATCAAAATATGCAAAAAAAATTTTCACCAGAAGTTGATAACCAATCAATTCCATAATTTTCAGTCAAAATTTTGATTTCATTATTTCCATAATATGCAATTTCACTTTCTTTTTGAGGTAAAAATTTGGGATCAAAAATTTTTAGTGCATTATAAATTTCTGAATCTGGAAATTAATTCTTTAAAGCTTTAATAATTTCTTTAGAAAATTTTAAAACAAAAGAAGGTATTAAATCAGAATGAATATTATTATCTACCATATATTTATATAAAATTGTGCCATATGGGAGGCGGTCAGTAGAAAAGGGAGAAATCCACTTTTTAGTAAAAAATTTTTTTATTGGCTCACTCTGCTGATTATGATCATGTGAACAAAACTAGCTTAATAACTAAAATTACTCAAAATTTGTAGATTTCCCCTTTTCTATTGACCGCCTCCTATATGTTAGAAAAACTTCTTCAGTTCTAATAAATTATGCGCTAATAGCTAAAATTGTTGTTTTCAAAGAATATTTTAATTCTGAAAGATCTATATAATCACGTTGAAAAGTCTTGATCATTTTTGATAAAATATATATTAAATCTGCTATAAACATTATTGATATAATAAATTTTGGATCAAGATTACTAACTAATTGAGAAGCTTAATCCCTATCTTTAGAATTTTCTGCATTAGCCATATTATCATTAAGAGCATCAATAACTGAAAAAATAACTTGATAGAGATTATGCATAACATTTGATATAGATAGCCATTTTGTATTAATAATGTTCAAAATGGTAAATTGCGGATCTTTGTTAATATTTTGCATAAGCTTTAAATTTTGCATCTGTTTATATGATCCACTAAAATATCCATATAATTGTTTGCAAATAACTTCATATTCTTTAAAATATGTTACTTTTTTTGCTACATCTTGACCAGCTAAATGAAGTTTATGTACAATACAATGAATAGAAGTCATGAATGGATTTTCCTTTTTTAATTGTGTTATTATACCATTAACTTTTCTTAAATAAAAAAAAATCAGTCCTGTCAGTTTCGCAATATAAATTAACTAATCATTAAATTATTTTAATTATAACTAACCTGTCATAACAGAAGCACCATCACTTCTAAAATAAGCAATATCTTTAATTTGCAGTCCTTTTTTGTTTAAAAAGCTTTTTATTTGTGTTGTAATATTATTAGCATTGCAATCATCAAGTTCTATTAATCCTAAATAACGTAACACTAGCACATTATTTGCTATATGTTTTGAGACAAGCACTAAGTGTTTTTTATCAGTTATTATTGTTGATTTATCGATTAAAATACTATATTGTCTAGAAGCTTTAATTTCATCGATCAATGCCTTTTCAATTACATAAAAAATAGCTTCTTCAAATTTTCGCGCATATTTTGAAGTACAATATGATCTATATAGAGGAGTATTTAAAGATGATTGTAAAGAAAAAAGAGGAGGGAGTTAAAGAAGATGAGGTTGTATTTGTGAAGTATTTTTATTTGAGTTTAATACTAAATTACATAAATCAGAATAAAGGTTTAATGAAAAATAGTTTTTTAGCTGCAAAGTATACACATTTCATTTGATTAATTATCTTTTCTTTGTCAATATTAATTTGTTGAGAGATACTTTGAATAATATTAGGTTGATTTCCTTTTCTTGCTTTTTTTAAAAGGTTATGCTCTTTATTTTTAACATGCCTATCGATTAAATCCTTCTTGTAAGTACTACACCCTTTAGCAAATTGATTGCTATAACCTGTCTTCTCACATCAGTTACAAAACATAAAAACTTTCTCATCAATATCACGATATTCTAATCAATTATGAATATTATGTCATAAATCTTTTGGAGCAGCAGCTGTTTTCAATTTTTTATTAACTTTGATTTCATCAGTTATAGAATTTGGCTTTCTTTTAGATGTCTCACTACTTTGTCCAAAGCAGTCTAAAAACTTGTCCATATTTTCATTAAAAAAAAAGGTAAATTTTTGATTACATTATAACAATAATGATAATCAAAATTTGTAAAAAAAATCATGTTGGTTGAATGTCTCCAAAACTTATATTTAAAACTGAGTCAATTAAAATATTTTTGGAAAGACCGAATATATCATATTGTATATTATTTTATTTTTATTTTTTATTTATTTTTATTTATTGATTTGATAATCAATCAACAATCAACGATCAGCAACTGTGCGAGGTTGTGTAGATTATATGAAATTGTGCAGAATTATGCAAAATTGTGCGGACAGCACAATTTTTCTAAAATTTTTTGTGCAGATTTGTGTACACCTTTACAAAATTTATGTGTAGAATTTTATTAGTCATATGCAAGTGCACGTGCCACACTATAAAAATCATACACTGATTAGAATATATTTTATATAAATAAGAATAGTTTTATAAGAAAAAAGAAAGTGTGTGAACTTGTCTATAATAAATTTTTAAAGAATAAATTATTTAGTACAGATATACTGATAGGGGTAGTACTAGTCTTTTGATTGTTAAATAATTAATTATATGTACTTTACTTAAAAAGTCTCATTTATTTCTATTTCTTTTATCTTGTATCTTATTTTACTTTTTCATATAAAGGAAACCTTCTGTTAAACTTTGATATCACAAGTGATTTACTTGCGATCTAAAGTACTGGCATAATAATATTAATAAGAAATAGTCACATATAACTTTATAATATAATTATATTATGAAGTTATATGCGATTTGGTCTAGATTATAAAGGCAACTTCATAGTCTACTGGTGGCTTCATAATATAATGGTAACTTCATGATATAACAGTAGTTTCATAGTCTAATTTCATAATCTAATGATAACTTTATAACCTATTATTCATACTCTAATAATAACTTTATAACCTACATATAGATAGCTTCTTTGTATTTATAGCATTGTTTCATCTATTTTCTGTATAATATAATGGTAACTTCATAGTCTAATAGTGATTGGTAATGTTTTAATTTAATAGTGATGTTATGATCTAATAGTAACTGCTTTCTTCTTGTTTCTAATCCATTTACATAATAAAATCTATATTATTGATTCTAACTTTTCAGTCTTCTTTGAATATCTGGTTTTATAATGAGGGTGCTAGTTCTCTATGCTAGTTTAGATACTAGTTCTTTATTAAGAATTTGTACTTATTTAGTTGCCTTTCTAGATTGCCAAAGAAGCTTCAATCATACCTGAATATATATCATTGAGATGAAAGCTTCTTCTAATATTTTATATAATGATTACGGAGAAGTCTTCACTTTCAGTTGCATATTTGGTTGCCTTCCTTTTACATTTTGCCTACTAAATTTGCTATCGTTTCTTTTTGCATCTACCAAAAAAAATAAATTAAACATTCTTAGAATATTCCTAGAACTCACAAAAAAAATTAATGGTCGTACTTTTCTCAAAACTAGTAAAGAAGATTTTGAACGATATAGTCTAGAAGCTAGTCCTACTACAACAGGATGACAAATCATATTTGATGGCTTACACAATATCACTGGTTAAGTTTAATTCTACTTTTTGATTACCTATTTACTATCAGGAGTAGAGGTCAAGATATTATGCTTCTCAGAGGTAGAGTTTCAGATAAGTCAAGTTAACTCATGAGTTAGATAAGCTGAGTCAAGTTTAAATTAAGTCAAGTTTATATTTTTTTGACTCGATGATTTGCAAGTCAAATCAAATTTGAGTTGAGTTAAATATTTAACTCGACTCAATTTAAATTCGACTCAAACTCGACTTGACTCGAGTTGACTTGAAATAGTATTATTAATAAATTAATATTTTAAAACTATAAAAATTATACATTATAATAATTGAAATACTTTATAATAGTTGAAATGTATTAATAGTTAATAATTAAAATTTATTTTATTAATTTAAACTATAAATTTAAATTTCGTTAGAAATGCATAAAGTTAATTATTTTTTTATTAATAAAATAATTAAACATTAAAATGGTATAGTTTAGACCTTTATTTTAATGATTTTTTTATTGATAAAATATATAAAAAATAAAAATTATTATAAAATTAATTAAAAAATCTAATTTTTCGTAATACCTACTTCTTTTTCCATTGCTTTAGCAGTTTTTCAGTTAAAGTAATTGCACTAGTATATCGAACATCACCTTCACTTAAATTAAGTTTAGCTATACCATATACTGCTTGCGTTAACCAACACTATATCGTTAAGCTCTAATTTATAATAAATTTAAAATTATTTAATAATTTAAAAGGTAAAATGAGTATAAAATAAATATTAAAATATAATTATTTTTGATTCTTTTTAAGGAGTATTTTAAAGTTCATTTGATATTATAAATTTGAATTTACTCAAAAAAATGCTGATTCTACATTAAAAATAATGTTATTTCACTACTATTATTTTTATCAAAAATTATATATCCCTTAGATTGTAGAAGTTTGCAAACAAATTTGTCTACTTATTTACTATAAATTTATTTCTGATTTACTTTTATGATAAATTAATTTTATAAATATATATTATATTATAGTAAATTTTATTTTTTAATTATATAATAAATAATTTACAATTACTTATAAGCTAAAAATTTGTAATTTTTAAAAAAATTATAAATTAATAAATTTCATCATTAACCTTTGACAATCTTATTAATATTTACTTTTAGCAATATTAATTATAATAGAATATTATAAAATTTATCATAAAGAATAACTTTGATTATTACACTTTTTATAATTTACTAAGAAATTTTATGACTTTTATTAGTAGTAAAGTGATTCAATTAGTTTGCAAATATATAAATTTTAAAGAATTTTTTAAAAAATTATTATAATAAATTTTTTAAAACTTAAATTTAAAAATTAAATTATTTAAAAAATATCTTATAAACTTAAAATTTCTTCTAATAAAATTAATAAAATATATATTAAACTATATTTTCCATATAATTATTATATTACTAAAAATTAATATTTAATATTTTATTTAAAATCATTTATATCTATAATAATAGGCTTATTAGATCTTATTGGATACTATTAATCACTGAATAGAGAGCTCACTTTAGCTATAGAGCTTTTTACATTCTATCTTTACTAAAAGTAATGTTATAATTAGTTGTAACTATATGATGTTTATTTGTCATCAGTTACAATTAGTTGAAACTTAATTTTTATTAATATGGCAATTAGTTACAACTCTATGATGCTTATTTATTACTTGCAATTAATTACAATGCTATTTTTAATCTTTATTAATCTAATTTATAGGATTTTATTTTATTAATAATTACTAAAACTGTAGAATTAAGTTTTTTATATAGATAATGAAATAGTACTTATAGTATAAAATTCATCTGAAAATTGAATTTAGCCTTTAACTCTAGTAATAGTTTAATTTGAAAGGTATTGTAATATGTACTATAATATAATAATTATCTTAGGTATTATACTTCCTTATGATAAATTCAAATCTACTAATACTAATTAATCACTTTCTTACTTATGTAAGGATTTTTGCTATTTGAAAATATAAGACAGTATTCATTATAGATTTATCGACAAAGGTTAAGTTTTTATTAATACTAATTTTATTTGCATCTACTTGTTCTTTAAAATCTAATATTTAGATATGATTAATATTGATTGATAGACTGATTGACTAATTTTTAACACATATTAATCTATACAACCTTATAATGAAATTTTATATAGTTTTATATCTTGACTAAGACTTAAACTTAAAGCTTTTGTAATATAATTTACAAAAGAGACTCAATTGAGCTAGGATTTTTAATCTTTAGAATAATCTAATATAAATTTAATATTTAATTAATAATACCAAATTTGTTATTTAATGATTTATAATAGAATTTTTTAATTATAAACTTTAAATATAAAAAGAATTTTTTATAGGTTTGCTATTATAAAACTAATACTAAATTCAGATTTTTTGTTATATAATAATTTTAACAAGCTAAATTTATCAAAAGCAAACCTGTAGATCATAAAAAAAATTGTCAATCAAAAATTATTTAACAATATATAAAATTGTTTAAACTAATTTTTTATTTAGATTATTTAAGTAAGTCAATAATTAAAGGATATCTAATATGATCTAAATCATCAGAAAATTTAATCTTTTATATAGATGATTTTTTAAGTAATGCTAGATCTGAATATTATATTTAAGATCTTAAATAGATATGTATAGATAAAAATTCATTATATTATTAATTTAGCATTTTTCTTATAAATTGGCTCTCTTCAATATATATTGAAATTTTTGCAATCTTCACTTTATTGTTAGTTGTTTCTCAAACCTCTTATACTATTAGTTAAGTCATAATTTTTGAATTTAACTTATATATTCTCAATAATAGCTTCTTCTGATATATAATTTACTATATCTTTGAATAATAATAAATTAATATTATATTATATAAAGAAAAGCACATATTGGTAATTTATTTAATAACTTACTGATAATCTAACAAACAAGAAAGATCTGCTTTATCCATTATCTCAATTTTAACTGCTTCAGATAAATGTAATTTTATTATGTATTATAATACTATTCTAATTGAATCTTCAATTGGACAATTCTTTAAAGAATTCTTTACAGCTAAAACATTTAGTGATTTCTTATTATTTATCAAAAATTAAAAATTCTGATTTATACTAATAATTCATCTATTGATTAGATTATAATATGAAAAGATCTATCATTAGATTCATTCTCATTAGTCATATTTTTTACTTCTACTTATTTTAAAATATTTATCTTTAAAACTTAATGAATAAATTTCTTATCTTATTTTATTTAAAACATCTTAAACCTGATTTTTATAAAATTAAAAATACATTAGCTATAATTTATATACTGAAATATAAGAGTGTACAGTCAACTCTTGATATAGCGAACTCTTGATATAACGAATTTTTTGAACAAATATAATAAAAATACTCTTGTTATAGCGAATTGGCCAATCAAATCTCTTAAAATCTTCACTATAGCCTTATAGTGAAGTTGAGATCTAAGACATAGAGTTCGATATAACAAGAGTTGACTGTATTTAACTTTATTTAACTTATATATCATTTTTAAAAACTATTATTATTAATATTAAAGACTATTTATTCGAATTATTATGTTAATTTAACATCACTATTCTCAATAGAAATCTTTATTTTATCTTTGAAGATATATCATATTATTTACAAATCTTCTTCAATATCACAAGACTATTATTCTGTCTTTTTTAATAAAATTCATCTATAAGATCATTAAAAATGTGTTTTGATCATTATAAAGCTAGTTTTATTCTTTCTACAAAGACTTTATAAAGATATTTGAAAATACAAATGTAAACTTTTACATAATAAAAAAATTTCTTTAGATATTACAGTCAACTTTTTATATAGCAAACTCTTAATATAACGAATTTTTGAATAAATATAATAAAAATACACTTGTTATAGCGAATTAGCTAATCAAATCTCTTAAAATCTTTACATAGTCTTATAGTGAAGTTGAGATCTAGAACATAGAGTTTATTATAATAAAAGTTGACTATACTAATAAAGATAAACTTAAAAGAGTTACTAATAAAAATTTAAATCATGTTCAATCATATCATATCTTTAATAACTAAGAACATGAATTCATTTTACAAATAAATTTTTAGATTTTTAGATAAACATTAACTTTTTCTTTTCTTTTCTTATTAATTACAATAATTATTAGATACATATCTAATGAGTTTATAGAAGGAGAAAAACAATGATAGATTAATTAAAATAGGGTTGAAAAATAATTACAGGGTAATTAATACTTATATATAAATTTTTAAAATTTACTTTTGTATAAATTTAATAAAGTTATTGACAGTATTACATTATAAAAAAAATTTTTTATATAGTGTTAAGTAATCTTTAATCAACAATTTTTTCATAATCTATAGGTCTAATTTTGATGAATTTTAGCTTATTGAAATAATTATAGTATTAGTTTTATAATAGTAAACTTATAAAAATATAATTTATGCTTAAAATTTATTAAGTAAAAAATTCTGATATAAATTATTAAATTATATAAATTTGATATTATTAACTGAATAATAAATTTATATCAAGTTATCCTTTAAGATTTGAATTTTAAAATAAATATAAAATCATGATTTTAGTATCCTGAATAATATTGATATAATTTATAAAAGAATTGTACAAAGTTTATATGTAAATATTTTTTAAATAAATAAATAGAATTTGTATAAATTAATCTAATTTTAAATTACTCATAAATTACAATTACATAAATTAATTAAATGAAAATTAAGAGTTAAAGATACGTAGAGTTAATCATTTTTTATTGATAAAATAATTAAATATTAATTAGTATAAAGATTAAAAAAAATAAAAAAAAGAATAGAGTAAAGTTCAAAAAATTAGAATGAAGATTGAAAAATAAAAAAATAAAAG